GCACTCATCTTCCATCGCATTAATACCTTTAGACAACAAAAATACAGGAGAATATATTTAGTTCAGAGGTAAAAAGGTAAGTAAAAGAAAAAGAATTATTTTAGAGCTAAACCTAGAAAATAATGTGAAGAAAATTCAGTAGGGAGATGAAATTATAGGGAGAATTTATTTAGCTGATACCAAAATTCAAGCCCCTCAGGAAAGGAGAAAAATGATAAACTCAAAGAAAAAATGCACTATTTTGATGAATAAACAACAACTCAGGAAATTCGTAGACTCAAAACCAATCTTAAAAGAAGGACTAAATGTGCTACTGTAAGACAAGACAAATCCATACAAGCACAACAAACCTCTACAGAAAGATGGCAAAAAAACCCATACAATAATCTCTCTCAATGTCAATTAAGAGACACAGAGTGGCAAAATGAATTAAAAACCTGAACCAAACATTCTGCTACCTACAGGAAACATATCTGAACAGCCAGAGCAAACACAGACTCAAAGTCAAAAGATAGAAAATAATCCTTCAAGCAAACAACTCCCTCAAAGAATCCAGGGTGGCCATACTAATATCCAACAACAAAGATTTTAGGCTGAAAAAGATTATAGGGGCCAATAAAGGACATTTTTTTAAATAATCAAGGAATATGTACAGCAGGAAGAAAATCATGCTCCGAAACATATAGGCATCCAATGAGGGACCACCAAAACACTTAAAACAACTTCTAAGAAACTTTAAGGAGGAAATTGGTAGAAAAACAATAGTAGTTGGAGAATTCAACACCATCTTATCACCTCTGGATAGATCAACAAGATTAAAACTCAGAAGGAAGACATGGAAGAATGCCTTTGGAGGAAGAATGGCTTTGAAGAATGGCTTTGAAGGAAGAAATGGAAGAGAGAGAGAGCTAATAGATGTATACAGGCCTTTCCATCCCCCAAAATGTGAATGCACATTCTTTTGTGCAAATGTACACATGGAACATTTTTCAAGATAGACTATGTGCTGGGTCCCAAAACATACCTCAATAGAATCAGGAAGATAGAAATTGTATCCACTAACTTTTCAGACTGATGCATTGATGTCTTACAGAAAACCCTCATAAAGTTGTGTGGACACTAAATCATATACAGCATGAAGCTGGGAGAATTGTCTGGAGATATTGCGTGTTCATAAGGATCTTGGGTCAGAGAGATTGTTGGGTCAAAGTGCTGAGCATATGTTCTGCATGCAGGAGTAAAGGTCACTATCCAACACTGCAGGTCCCCTTAAAGCTAAAGGAGTGAAACCCTCACCCCCAGAGTCAGAAATTTCCCTGAAATTTCTGAGAAATGGTCAAAACACACAGAGAAACACATACAGAGAAATGTTGTCTATAAAATCATAAAAAACACAGAAGAAAAGTTAGGGGTTATATTCTGGGATTTCAACATTAGGGATATGTTAAGACACATCTCCAATGGGGAGGGAAAAGCAATCAAGAATACATGAATGGTGCGAGTTTCCAAATAAAGGATGGGGCACACATGTGGGACTCAAGTGTTTAGTGGTCGAGAGCCACCTTTCAGGCTAGATGACAGCAAGAGATGGACAAAAGATTGCGGGAACAGGGGAACTGGGCCCCAGACTTGTCAGTAGCCAGTTTATTTCTCTCTCCTCCCAAATGTAGTCTCATCTCTCTCCGTACTGCACAACCATCGTTGTACTTTTGCTCATAGTCCCAGTCATCATACTTCCATCATCCTAGTTTCCTCATAGATCTCAAAGTCCTCTACTTCCAGTCATCGTCCTTGGATTCCTTGTCATCCTCCTAGTCCCCTCTTTCCCCTTACAGTATAAAGTAAGTTAAGTAAAAGCCCTCCCGTTGATCATCGATTTGCTCGAGCGGGCCCAGTAACGTCTCCATTGGAGAATTTGTTGTTACTGTGTTTGGCATATCGAATACTCTCGGTAGCTTGCCAGGCTCTCCGAGAAGGGCAGAGGGAATCGAACTCGGGTTGGCCATGTTGGCCGCTTGTGAGGCGAACGCCCGACCCGCTGTGCTATCGCTCCAGCCACTCACTCACTAAATGACTAATCCATTATTGTGAATAACTTTATGAAAATAAAATTTAAAAAATTATTTTGCATACCAAAAAAAAAAAACCCATTCCTGACAGGAACTACCTGTGATTTTGAACTCTCTCCAAATAGGCAAAAAGTAACAGAGCACCAAAGGCAACATAGATGCTGAACTATCAGGGATAAAGAAAACTTTAGGTTCAGGACACCATACTCAGTTCCAGAAGTCGAGACGGGACAGAGAAGGAAAGATTAAGGACCTTGCTGTTTGTCTTAGTGTAAAGAAAACACCAAGAGAGGACAAATGTTCTCTGGATAACAAAAATATTTGCATCGCTAATACAGTTATCAGAATCTTCGTGCTTGGGTTGCATTACACAGTGCATAAAATCTCTATTCTACAATCCCAAATTTGGGGTTCTCTGCCAGCAGTGAGAGGGTTTTTCCCAGGCTTGCGTTCTCAATAAAATTCTTTGAGAACCTCACTTGAAGTCTGCGTATCTGCTGTTAGCTAGCACAGGGGAGTAGAAAGAAGCTCATTGTTCATCAACCATTGAAGGAATTGCCAGATGTAGCCCTTCTGCACATGGAATATGACTCTGTAGTTAACGTTTAAACTGTGGACAATGAGCTGATGTAGGTGGACCAGGAAAAGCTGTTCTCAGTGAAAGAGGCCACAGAACCACAGAACGCTAGATGGCCAGAGTGTGGGAAACTAGAGGAAGAAAGGAATGTGGGGTTAAAGACTCAAGGATCAATGGGGAGAGAGAGGGTGATGGCTGAGTGGAGGAGGTTATGGACACCTTCTGAGGATACGAGCTCTATTTTAAAGTGTGGTGAAATTGTTTTAAAAGGTATTTTGGAGCTGAAGAAGCAGTACAGATGATGGGGCAGTTGCTTTGAACATGGCCAACCTGGATTTGATTCCTGGCACTCCATATGGTCCCCTGAGCCCAGAAAGGAGTACTTCCTGGGCAGAGCCAGAGTAAGCTCCAGGAACCATTTTGTGTGACACAAAAACAAATCAAATTGAATGTTGAGAATTGGGAAAATTGTATACACATTAAGGTGCTTGTGTTGCATGTGCACAGCCCTCGTTCTACTGATGTCTAGCACCACGTTGTCCCCTGAGCTATACCAGGAGTGAGTCCTAGGACATGGAGCTCTGTAGAGCAGTCACTGTTGGGTGTGACCCACGAACTCAGGGAAGAAATAGAAAGAGTCTGTCTCCCACATCTGTGAGAGCTCCTTTGTGTTGCTCTCTCCCATGCTGTGATTTTTCCCAGCGTGATGCCCTCAATCTTTGATGTGCTTTTTGATGCATTCCAAGGAAAAGGCAGCAAACGTGAGCCTCGCCTATAATCAAAGAATTGGGTGGGTCTAGTGAAACTGAGCACATCTCCCTACGGGTGGGGAGGACTCCTCCCTGCTACAGGGAGCACAATGTCTCACAGGACCCAACCCCTGTAATGCCCTTACCTGTTTTCATCTCAGGATTGTCCAAGGAGCATGAGTGACAGGAGATACCAAGAGTGTTTTCAATGAAATGAAATTTATTAACTATTTACACAATGACACAAAGGGGCTGCTCCAGCACAACCCCACCACTGGGCCCGCCAAACAATACACAAAAGTCCTAGCTGGATGAAGATCAGGTGGAAGACAAGGCTGCTAGGGGCAGCCAGGCCCAGGAGGGAGCCCCCCGGTATCCTACTGGATGCTGTACCCATCCTGTACTGTACTCCTCTGGGCTACAGCAGGCTGGAACCTTCTCTTTGGAGGCAGGGAAGGGCCCACCAGCTCCACAGTCAAGGCTGAGCCCCCAGACACCATAGGGTGCTCCCCAGGGAAGGGGGTCTTCTCAGTAGTGCCCAGTCCTGCGCTCCCACACAGAGGACGCTTCCTGGAAGGGGCAGTAGCAGGGGCAGCAGGATTGCAGGCCCTTCTTTGAGTGGGTTGGGTCCGAGAAGCCCCCCAGGCCCTCGGGCAGCGGGGGCCAGTGTCTGAGCCAGGGCTCATGGGGAAACCCCAGGGCAGAAGGCTGTGTTGAGAGGCCTGGAGGAAGGCCAGGCTGGGCAGCTCCTCCTCCTCCTCACTGGAGCCCTCTGCTGCCCCATGTGGCCCCTGGCCAGGAGGGGCCTCTCCCAGCATGAGGGAGACCCTGCTGTCCAGAGTAGGGGCAGCGAGGCCGGGACAGGGGGCCTGTTCTGCCTGAAGAGATGGAGATTCCAGGCTCCCCAAAGAGAGGACAGAGGCTCGAGGTGCCATCCCAGTGGCCTCAGCCTGCACAGGACTTGAGGCGTGTCCAAAGTCAGTCTCAGGGGGGCAGGATTCAGCGCTGGCCCCTGGCTTATGGCCCCAGGTAGGGGTTGGTTTGCAGTGACCTGCTGCACTCTCAGATGGACTTGAGTCCTTTGGAGTCAGCTGGTGTTGGGGACAAGCCTTCTGGACCTCCTTGTCCGGCGCAGTCCGTAGACGCTTTTCCACAATCTGAAGGGAGGAAGGACAGTGTGGGCATGTGGGGGTGCAGGGTGGGACAGAGAGTGACCGCGACTCCTCCCAGAGTAGAAAACCCAGATCTCTGTCCCACTAAGGGCCCTCACCCCCGCCAACCCTTATCTCACCCCATATTCATGTCCTCATCTTCCCTGAGGACTCAGAGGGAGGCCCCTGGCCATGGCCTGGGCAGGGAGGGCACCAAGTGACTAGGCCCCAGTGCTGGGCGCCCCTCCCTGACTCATGACCCACCTGCTGCTCTAAGTGCCCTGGGACCTGTCCCCTGTGTCCCCTTCAGGTTCTCTTTTCCAGCAATCACATGCAAAATGCCTCCTGTTTGCCGTGAGCCGCTAACCATTGCCTTACAGGAAACCCTCACATTATTCCCCTGGGTCCTGCATGGACCCCAGAGACCTATGTGCCTCACCTGTGTGGGGGTGAGTCCTTCCTCCTCCTCGAGCTCCTCAGCCAGGTCCAGGAGATCCAGCTGGGATTCTGGGGATAGCAGGTGCGTCAGGAAGCTGGGGTGAATGACTGCCTCTACCTGGGAGGGGGAAGCAGGTGTGAGGGTTCTCGTAAGGACTAGGAAGGAATTAAGATGCAAACACACCCGTTCTCAGCACAGTGCAGGGTCTTGCACTGTTGCATAAAGTCTCTGTCATGTACACACTTGACACAAATTCACACACTCTTCCACCTCTAGGCACATGTACATGTATCCCCACGTTTCTGCGCAGAGCCCACACAGTGCACACAGATGGAGACACACAGAGATGTTTACACATCGACCAAACCCAGAAATTCACAAACTAGGGCCATGTTTGTACACAGGGAGACACATATGCACACATGCACACAAACACAAGTAGAAATATGTCACTACCAAGCCCTGGACAGAAGCAACCCTGCGCCCTCCCCACCCTACAGCAGCGCCCAAAGCCCACCTTGGTGACAAAGGCCTCCTGGGAGCACAGATCATACACATAGCTCAGGAGCCCCACGTCAGGGCAGGTCCCGGTTTCCTCCTGCTGCTCCTTCCTGCCTGCTGCACTTAGGCCAAGCGGCGCCCTGCAGACTGTGTCAGGAGCCTTTAGCAGCTCGTCCATGATATCCATGTTCTCCTGCACGGTCTCAGGGGGGATCTCCTTGGGGGCCTTGGTTTGGGGGGCCCGCTGTGGTGTGTGCGTCTTGGGGCAGGCTGCCCGAGCCCGGGGTCTGGATTTCTTAGGGACACAGGCTGAGGAGGAAGAAGGAGAGAGGGACATGAGGGGACCCCGCGTCCATTGCCCGCAGACACACAGCACTGAGCACAGAAATGGGGACGGATACCTGTGGGCTGGGTCAGGTCAGGTGTGTGTCTACATCTGTGTGTACTAGAATCCCATACTGCGTGAAGGATGAGGGGGCCCTCAAAAGGAATAGGGGTCAACCGTGTCCCCAGGTTCTCCAACCCCACTTCAAAGGTGAGTCTGACGCCCTCAGGCAACGTGCTGTGTTCAGGGAGAGGGAGAAACACAGGAACAGGGGGCCACTGAGCATAGGCCTGGGTGTCCCCGGGAGAGTGAAGGCTCCCTGGCAGGGCAGGAACCCTAGCACCTTCCTGGGCCTATGAAAATTAGCTGGGGAACAGGGTCGGTACCTGGCTGCTGGTCTAGCAATGGGCCTGGAGCCCCCTGAGGCTCAGGCCTGGGTGGGGCAGTGGTTGGCAGGCCCTGTACTCCATTCATCCACTGCAGCTTCTGCACTTCCATCTCTTCCTCAGCCTCAAACTCCATGAACCTGGTATGGGGAGCACAGACCCCATTGAGTTGGGCTGGCCTGGACCACACTGGATGAGGTAGGGACAGGGAACACTCACGGCCAAGCCCTCAGGAGGGTGGAGAATGGGTGGGCACAGACCCCAGCGCCCCCAGTGATTCCCCACATCAGCCTTTTGAGGGTCACAGAAAATAAGGGACTGTGACCCTCAGACTGTGGTCAGGAGCCCCAGAGTGGGGTGGGGAGAAGTGTCCTGGCCCCAGGAGGGACAATCTTCCGCAGGGGAAGGGCCTCACGGGGATGCCAAGGACCCCTTGGCCATCTGGGAGCAGCCCCTGAAGGCCGGTCCTGCAGCCAGCCCCAACCCCCACTCTCTGCCCAGGACTGACTTACTTGGCAGCCATGTTGTAGTAGATCATGCGGTCAAAATTGCTCGTGCCCTCCCATTCCCGCAGGGCCCGGCGCAGGCCTTCCTCCAGGCTCATGGTGGGCTTCAGGCGGGCCAGGGTGCGCAGCACCGGGCTGCAAGGACAGGCTCGGTCAGGGTCTGTATCTGCCAGGAGCCCCCGCTGCCCTACACCCATGCCTAGACCCCCGATGGCGGCCTGGTCTCCCCGCGCTGAGTTGACTCTGCCTCCCACATCGCAGCTCAGTGGCCATGCTGGTGTGATCCCTCAGCTCTGGGGATAGGTCATGAGATTCCAAGTCCGAGCAGTCCTGGCCTGTCTGAACCCTGTTGCATCTGTGCTGTGTCTGGTCTTAGGAACAGAATGTCTGTCCTACAGACCACAGGTCGGGGCCAACCCTGATGAGGGGACTGAGTTGAAGCTTTAGGGCATGACTGGTCACTATGGGATTTGAGCCGAAACCCCGGGATGGCATTCCTGAGGTCATGCTCTCATGGACCCTACCATGGGGGTCACCCCAGTCCCTTCCTGTGAAGCTCCCATTAAGTCTAGGACACCCGAGGGACTTACATGAGGAAGCAGGAAACGGCCTCAGTGTCCGGAGTCTGAGCAAGGTACCTCTGGGTCAGGGCCTTGAAGCGCTGCCAGCGCCGAAAGTTCTCATAGACACTACTGGGGCTGCTGGAGGTTTCAGGTGATGCCTGGTTCCGGGTGGTGGCAGGACCACTCTCCCCACAAACCCACTGGGGCAGTGGTCCACCACTGGATGGGAGGATGATGGGAATCCCCTGGGCCACTGGCAGTGGAGCCTGAAGAGGATAGTCTCCTGTCTCAGCCTGGGTGACAGTAGTAGCTGGGGTAGGCAATACGGTCTCCATCACAGATGACACCAGGTAGATGGGTGCAGGATGCCCATTCACAGCAGATGGAACTTCTGGGCCCCCCCCCAGTTGAGTGAAGCTTGTGTCATGGTGACAGGCTGGTTCTGGTCTGATTCCACAAGCCCCACCTCAGGGCTGACCTGCATGATGACCTTGCAAGGTTCAGGAACGCGGGGACCATGGCTGGCCGCTCCTGCCACCACAGGCATCATGGGGAAAGGTGACAGCACCAGAGGGTTGCCAGGAGCGATGGCCGAGGTCTCCAGAGGGGGCATCTGGATCGGCTCCCAGGGTGGTGGCTGGGGGAGCCCTGGATTGAGAAAGGGCAAGACCCGGAATGCAGAGCCGGAGACCCCAAGGTTCATGGTCATCTCTGGGAGCAGCACAGGAGACACTGTGGAGAGGAGGGAGGGGAGTGAGAGGGAGACGGTGTAGGGGGGAGCAAGGCCTCACTGGCCCAACCATCTCTAGATCAGGCCCTTTGAAAGGTGGTTTGCCCTGTCTCAGCCCTGAGTCCCGGGCAAAGGCCATCCCTCCCCTCCAGCTGGGTTATACTTCGTGGAGATCCTAAGGCTAGGGTTCTTGTGTTCTGGGAGAGTTCCATCAGGGATGGCAGCAGGTGTGGAAATGGCCAGAGATTTCACCAGTCAGACACTTGGGGATGTTTCCAGAGTTCTGGAGCTGCTGATCGTGTTAGATTGAAAATTGTTAACAACTTCTAAATAATCTAAGACTTTATCCCAGAGGCAGAGACAGGATAATAAACATCAGGCATAAACCAGGTGCCAGGAAAGAAAATTATCTGCAACCATCATTACACGGGAGGAATTCACGCAGAGACTCGCCCTAGAGACGTCCCAGAGCCTGTGCGCATCATGCTCAGGACAGAGGCCCTGATGTCTCCAACTGCTCTGACGATGCTCTTTCTGCCTCAGTACACTCACCTCTCTGCAAGGAACAGACCTTCACAGACTTTTCTCAGCAAAAGCCCACATATCACACACACACACACACACACACACACACACACACACACAGAAACACACACTCATTCTCATAAAATCACACATAGACTCACACATCCATTTATCCCTTGTCTGTGAGGGAAGTATGCAATTCTCAATCAATCTTCACCTCAGAGCTGAAATGCTTGCTGGGGCGGCACCATGAGATGCCAGACCATGGAAGAACAAACTTCACCAAAAGGAGAACAATCCAGAACAACTCAGGAAGCTGAGTCGTAACTACACTGAAGTCACCTGTCTCCCAACCTGCTGACCCAAGACAGCTGCTGGGCTCAGCCAGCAGAGAGTTTAAGTCTGCAGAAGTGTCAGGCTCTGACTGTGGCAGTTAGTCACTTGCAGCCCAGCTCTGGGGAGGACGCATCATGGCAGAAATACACACAGACAGCCTCACTCAACACGGTTCAGGCTGGACCATCTGGGCTGAGCTGTCCACATCAGGTTGAGCTCAGCCCAAGTCTAATTACTTCTAAACTTATTCTAGAGCACAGGAGGGGACATGGACTCAGCATGCCTGGGTCTTCCCTGTGCCTCCACAAAACAGTCCCTCCAGACACATGACAAATGGCCTTGTTCCCCCATACACCAGCGGGACACTCACATATAAAGCAGCCATATGCCTGCTGCCTCCCTCTGTCCATACCAATGACCTTCCCCCAGTTAATTTGACACACCTCCAAGGATGCCCTCCCAGACCCCTCAGGTTCTACTGGGCTCCCTTTGCTGTACAGGTGAGCTATCTATGGAGCCCAGGTCTTTCTCCTCTTTCACCCACTCAAAACGTGGTGTTCCCAGTCAGGGTGACTATGAACCCAAATGATTTCAGGGTGGCAGAGACTTTCTCACATACACAGACACCCTCACAGGCTTACCTCCTCCTGACGCCATCGCCATTGATGAGGCCAGAGGCCACTGCAGTTTATCAGCCATGACAACGGCAAAAATCAGGACCAGGATCAGAGAGTGAACTGCTCACGCAGACGTTCAGGATCCCAGTGGGTGAGGGTGAAGTTTGAATTCAAACCTCAGAATCTTGGGCCCAAGACATTCTGCAGTGGGGGAGGGGAGGGCCAGGAGGGCCTGGCTGGGGAAACATTCCATGAAGGGCTCTGATTGGACAGCCAGAACCAGAACTTTCCTTCAAACTGCTCAATGGCAGAGCAGCTCACATGGCCTCTTCCAGCCACTTAGACAAAGTTTCCCGATTCTCAGCACACAGGTTGGCTTGGTCTTCGCTGTATCTCAATACTTTATCCACTAGTCTAGTTGTGTGCCCCTCAAATCTCTCTCCTTCCTCTCTTCCTGTTTACCTCCTTCAACAGAGTCTACGCTTTCTTTGCAATATTCAGTCATTTGTGACTTGTGAACCCATGGAGGTCAAAAATTAAAAGGAGTTTTCCCAAGCAAATGCAGTGGGTTTTGCTTTTTTGTTTCTTTGTTTTGCTGATCCTTCATTAGGGTCCAATCCCTAGGACTGAAAGTAATGTAGATTTGTCTAACATGTTTGACTAGCTTTTTCAAAGTTTCTTTCTACTGGAAGCTCTTATCCTTCCTGGAATAGCCATGAAGTTTCATGTTAAAACAGCTACGAATCTCAAACTTACTTCTTTGCATTTGCAATACATTTTATGTATGATTTGCCTCCAAAATATAATGTTGAATTGAGGAATATCTTTAGTGGTTCAAAGCTAAGTTTTGCCAGAGGCTCAATGATGTGTTTTTAATGCATGGCTGGGTGTTCCCTTCAACTTCGCCTTGTAATACAATGCTCTCTCCCACACTAAACTGGTTTTCTGTTGTCAACATATTTCTAGACATGTACTATGAACTGAAATCCCTAAGGATCTCATTTTTATGAACTCATAACTGATTTCCACTCTGGTTAAAAGTACATGTACGTTCTACCAGCTGGCATGTGTATTGATTTCTTTATATTGGTCAAACAGCTTCTGTCTTGTTCAGGAGACTCCATCCCCACAGCATGAACTTCTGCAGTCCCTAACTGAATCCTTATTATGCCTGAAAAGCCACCAATCTCGTGCATGACTGGCCGACATTTGCACCACTGCAGCCTGTAGGTGCGCGCGCATTGGGGCTGTCCTGGCTCAGTTCTAAGCAGTTAGAGGTAACGGACACGCACGCGCACCTGCATCTCTCGCGGGGTCTGCAACTGCCAATGTCCTACAAGCTATGGGTGTAATGATTCCTCTTTGGGATAGTAGCACCCATGCCTATGTCGGGCTCAACAGAGGGGTATGTGGCACTGTCCAGCTGTCTCGGGGGCGCGTCTCCCCCAGGCTGTGGCAGCGCCGCACGCCTGCGCCAGATCAGTTCCGGATCTGGACGCTCAGAGCTAGGGTGGTAAAGGACTCCTGGGACCATTCAGACTGCTACTTGGGGTCGGAGCGAATGTGCAGCAGGGTAGGACCATTGCCTTGCCTATGGCCAAACTGGCTTCCATCCTCTTCATCCCAGATGGTACCCTGAGTACCGTCAGAGTAATTCCTGAGTGCAAAGGAATTCCTCAGCACAGCCAGTGTAGCTTCAAACCAAAACAAAAGAATCCCAAAATACAACAGCAATAAAACAGCAGGAGCAAACAAAGCCCTACTACCATGTGGACCTTTTGTGTAGGATGCAAAAGCAAACACAAAGTTTTTCCTTATTGAAAACTTTAGCCCTGGAACATGAAAAAAGTCAGGTCACTCCTAAATGGGGAAAATGGGAAGCTCTGACATACATAGAAAATACATACATAGAAAAGCTTCACCTTTGTTTCCCGAAACGTTTTAGAAACCAAAAATTAGGTTCCATCACTATTTCTTCGTCAATAATTGAAACAGTTTTCTTGACTTAAAATTTTGAAACAATCATAATCTGACATCCAATTGTTGTGCAATTGGTAGCCTGTTTGGCAAGAGATGCAAGAATTAAGCAAATATCGACTGGGATATGTAAGGTTCAGTTGAGCTTACAAAATTGACAGTGAAACTATGTTTTTGTATATTGTAATGCCTTAAAAACCTCTTAAATGTGTGTTCATCATCTGCAGTATTTTTGGACACAGACACAGGCACTTCATTTATAGAGAACAGGTCCAGCCCATAAATAAATATATAAATATATAAATATTACATATATTACATTTATATATTATATAAATATGTATTATATTTATATATTTCAGAGAGTCCGATAATCTACTGAGAGTATCCTGCCCACACTGCATCTTAGGCTATTCATCTTTGGATATTTTTTTCTTGTCAATTTTGTTTATTCTTCCAGAACCAACTGGTGAATTGGCTAATTATTCCTTTCATTTGAGAATTTTCTTATTTCTTATTTTTAATTTTATTTTTATAAATTAGTTCACAATATTTGATTAGATTTTATATTTGGTCGCGAATCCCAGCACCATTACACATTCCCACTACCACATTTCGGATGTTTTCACCCCAAACCCCAACCCCTGCCCCATAGCAGAACCAAAATAATTTATTTTGCATTATTTGTTATGAATAAAGGTAAAAAAATGCTAAAAATGCTCCAAAATGTTTCTTTAGAGAAAAGTGTGTGAAGATTGTTGTATTTCACGCAGGAACCACTAAACCCTTTTATAAGAGATTATGAGCCTGTTGTTAAAGGTTCAGCCCTTTGTGCATAGATATTGGGCTGGAGCGATAGCACAGCGGTAGGGCGTTTGCCTTGCATGTGGCTGACCCGGGTTCAATTCCTTCGTCCCTCTCAAAGGCCCTGAAAGCTACTGAGAGTATTTTGCCCGCAAGGCAAAGCCTGGCAAGCTACCCGTGATTTATTCGATATG